CTTACGAGGGTGGCCCCCCTTCTACTCTGAGTCAAAATAAATGACATGAATTGCACTGTAAACATCGAGGCGGGCCCTAATGTGGTAAAAATGATGATACTGAATTAACCTGCAGCCTATAAAAAGATGTGAAGTTACCCAGTATTACTTCAGGAGCAACGGACATCTTGCATTAACCAGTCTAAAAATGGCATATGATTGGTACGTACGCAAATACACGCAGGACGCTACATTAAACCAAAACTATCTAGGCGGGGCAGTGGCATTAGGAACCAAAGAGTCGACCTAAAACCAGACCTAGAAGCAGAACAAGTCGGAGTTTCACTTGGGAACTGCATACTCGCAAACTTATGGCATTTTCGAAATTTTTTCAAAAATTGTACAGTTTCATCAACTTGCTAAGTCTGTTTACTAATAGATGAAGAAAACATACATCTTCGAGTGCGGCGGACTTCGGCAGGGATTCCAAACGGCAGGGAGAACCTTCAAGGGTTTGAGACAAGGACAAGAAGGCTTTCTTAACTTCTGCGGCAACCGAAAAGGGCACCGGAACAACCTAGTAGAAGAGAGTAAACGACAATTAGCCTAGGGATGAATTAAGAGTTAATGATTAATTGTGCAACCAAATTTCATGAAGTCTCGGAAGGATACAGAAGCGTAGATTAGTCGTGTGGCTAGCCACTGAATTTGTCAAGAACACGCGAATGTGGAATAAGGAAAAAGAACTAAAGGGAGTTTATTCCTTTTGACAGTTACAATTGAGATTCTGTGTTTAAAAAACGTCTGCAGCACTTTTGTATCACAAACGGGATATCACAAAGTTATTTCTTGAAGTTAAATTTCGGCAAAGCTCGGAAATTTTATATCCAAATTTACAAAGACTACTTCATGCTACTTGGTGACCAATACGCTTGCAGTGTGCAAAAGAAGGTTTTAACAGCCACTTTTCTATATTTAACTGTTAGAGGTTTTTAATTACTCCAGACACTGGAATACAATGGGTATGGAGTGAATGCGTTTGACCCTGGGCGACATTTAATCATAATTCAAGTAAGCCATCACAGTGCCCAGTGCAGGGTTGCCAACAGCGAGACTGAGGTGGTTTGCGTACGTTTTCCGTTGTCTGCCTCTCGAGCCCTGTTATACTGCCCTCGATCTGACGCTGCTGCCCACCCAGAAGCATCGAAGAAGAGAACAAATGAAGATTTGGCTTGACACAGTTCGTCAAGACATGGAAGTGGTTCTTAGACCTTCGGTATTCAGTCCAGATTGCGTAGAAGAGAATGGGTTGAACTTTCCAGATTTGCAGCCGCAAATCGTCACGTGTGGAGGGGTACAATCAGTGGCATCGTTGAGACCGACTACATCACAGCTGTATCAACTAAAAGTAGAATCTGAGCCCCTACGCGATTAAAATCCCGAATTACGACTAGGTTTACCTTTATAGCATGGCCGGTGTTACATCATCGTACCGGACTCAATAGCGATAGAGTGGATAGAACACGAGAATATGATACCAGGGTCTGCCGAGGTTACCGACGTCAGGAAAACATAAATAGCATGAACTGAACACCAATAAGGAAGACCAGAAGGCCCTTACGCATGACAAACCGAAATAAAAGCTGGTTGCACAAAAATGGAACCGAAAGAACACAGAAGGGTAAACACTAGCGGGGCGAAAAA